TTAGAGTGAAATTCCCTGGCCTTGAGGAACCCTTTTTTCGACAATGTTTAAAAGCATCGGTGCATTAGAAACATTGTCAAAACACAAAATGGCGGTTGGCAACTGAATAAGACATAAATCAAGACCACTCATGCACTTTTTTTCCTGCAGTTGGCATCACGATAATCAACAGTTGCATCGAAAGAAAATAGATTGAAGATCAGCTCCATAATTTTTTTGACTCCGCAAAATTTATTTACTTACCTGAACTTAAAGGCAAAGAAAGTTAAAAAACATACCTCAATCGAACGTGCCATTTCAAATGTCCTGTTACGTTTGTGCCCTAAATTTCGCTTTTATTACTCCTTGATGACCATCATCTTGAGTACACGCGAAGAACACCATCTGTTCAGATTCTTATTAGCATTATTGGAACATACGCCGAGCAATAACGAATAAACAGCAAACATTTCACCGGAAATCTATGATTTCCGATATGGTCGTCATGTTGTGACGTCAAGTGGTTATCAAAACAGTACAGCTTCAACGCTAAACAATTTTTTTAATAACAGATTTGCATTTTATGGCTTAATGGGGCAATTTCTCTTTCACATAGCCGATGTGTTAATTTATTTAAACTGCACAATTACAAACTACCCAATTACCTTTTTCAAAAAATTACAGATTTCAACTCACAAATTACGTATTTCCCTTTCGCAAATTTCCGATTTTGAGAAAAAATTGTTATTTAAAAACGTTTCTAAAATGGTCAAACTAGCTCAGGGCTATGGTTTCATCGGACAAAAAGCATAACCAGTTTATATAGTGGTTAAATAGTCAAACTAGCAAGGAGACAGTTAAACTGAAAAGTTGCAAAAAGTGGGAACAGTCAAAGATGCAGAAAGTAGCTGAGTTGGCTCAATTAACTCATATGGACAAAATCCACCAACAAGCTAAACTGGGTCAAACAATGGCTTGTTTGGCTTGTTTGCCACTGAATTACGCTCTTTTCAAAACTCAAAAAATGTTGTCTGCTAATCACGCTGACTTTAGCTTTAACTCACTTAATACAACGTCTCTGTGGCCAAATTACCCTTTTCTCGGCTTTTTCGCACCGAAAACATATTTTGGTTTGATTGCAGCTAAATTAGGCTGTTCTGGGATTTATGTCACAAAAAGCAACGTTTTACTCTTTTTGTTGCGAAACTACGCTGCTTTTAGCTTTATGACACCGAAAAGATGTTTCCGTTTGTTTGTCGCTAAATTTACACTGTTTTCAGCTTTATCTCACTGAAGACTAAGTTTTAAGCTTCTATGCAGCTAAATTACGTCTCTTTTAGATTTATCTCACTGAAAACGTTTTTTCGCTTGTTTGCCGCTGAATTGAGCTGCTTTTAGCTTTATCATACCCAAAAAAGGTTTTCTGCCTGTTTCAGCTAATCTCCTTTAGGTTAGCCATCCACCGTTTTTCCTTTTTCGCTACTAAAGTAAGCTGTTTTTAGCTTAATTTTACAGAAGATGGATAAGCCATAATTATTTCACTTCTTTGAGTATTTCTCTAAATAGAAAGATGTTCATTATATTCATCTTGATCCTTATCCTTTAAGAACATTCAATATCCTATACGCAGTCTTAACACTTTTTCTGCATTTACTCATCTTTGCGGAACGCAGAAATTATCCTTAAAGAAGAGGCTTTATATTTACGGTTCTTTACGCAAGAGTTAAAGATGTGTAGATTTGTGATTTGATACTGTGCTAGTTTGACCGTTTAACCATTTGAAGCAATTAACTTGGTTTGACAATTTAATCTACTTGAACCTATTCAGCTAGATTGTGAAGTTTGTGCAGTTGATTAATTTATGCTTGTTTGAACATTTTTTAAAGCGGAAAGTAGCGTCATTTAGCAATAAAAAAGGAAAAACCGTGAGCCCAGTCTAGTTGTAAACAAACGTAAACATGGTTTCGGTGCGAGAAAACTGAAAAACGCGTCATTTCACGACAAAAAAGTAAAAACGTTTCCCGTGAGGCAAAGTTCAAAACAGCCGAATTAAGTTGCAAACAAAGGTAAACATGATTTCAGTGTGACAGAGTTCAGAACAGCGTAATTTGGCCTCAAAAGCGAAAAAATGTCTTGAGTGAGATAAAAATAAAATCGCTGTAATTAGCAAGAAAATGGCAGAAAACTTTATTTCGGTGCAATGACGCTTAAAATAACGTCTTTCAACTGCAAACAAACGAAAATATATTTCTGTGCAATAAAGCTAAAAACAGCGAAATTTAGGAAAAACGTTCTTCTCGGCCAGATAAAGCTCAAAGCGGCGCAATTTAGTTGAACACAAACGAAATTATTTTTACGGTGCGAAAAATGATTGTGTGGGTTGAAAATTTTGAACGGTTTTCGCTAGTTTGACAATTTGAATCAGTTGAACAATTTACCTAGTTTGTGCATTTTGTCCCTAAGAGCCGTTAAAGCTTATTTGACCATTTTTTCCAATTGAGCCTATTCAGCTAGTTTGCAAATTTCTCACAATTCAACTGATATCGCTTGTTTGAGCGATATCAGTTTTCAGCTGATCACAGTGATTTGAGATTTATTTCACTCAAAGCAACGTTTCTTCGTTTTTGAGACCAAATTACGCTGTTCTCAGTTTTTAGCCCCGAAAAACATGTTTTCGTTTATTTGAAACTAAATTGGGCTGTTTTAAGCTTTATTACACCCGTTTTGAAATCACTAGTGGTCCCTGTAATCTGATTGGCTCTAATTGGTGCAATTTATTCACAAATCGCACCATTTTTTTGCTTTAAATCGCATCTTTTTCCCGGCCAATGAGGAAGTTATACTAAAAACAAAACAACCAATCAGATTTTAAGGCTTGTTTAAAGTTACCAATCACATTGCAGGAAAATGGAAGACAAAGTATCATGTGGCAAATTTTGCAACTTTTGTTTCCAAAACCCTTACTTTTTTCCCCCCAAAAAATGGATGAATTTCAGACCGGCTCAGTACTGCATCAATAAAATATTTGAACTGACCGAGTCCTTTATTTGGGCGATTTCAAAATGGATGTAATAAAGTGGTAATTGAACCTCGTATCGTGCAATTTTGGTCTGAAATCATACTTGTGATTTCAAATCGAACTCACGCTGCGCGCTAGTTCGATTTTGAAATCACACGCATGATTTCAGCCCAAATTTCACTCCACTCAGTTCAATTACCATTATTTATCTCACAAGAAAACGTTTCTAAATTACAATTTTTCATTTCGTTTTGTACTGCAAATGACAGTAAGCCCTCACAGAGAAAACAACGGCGAGACTTCTATCTTTCGCAATGACATGAGACAAAATGAAATCACTTTCGAATTTCTGAATCAATTTGATAAGATCAAATATCACACAAAAAGAAAAAAACAGAATATTAAAAATGAATTTTAAGTGAATGAGCTGTGGGGAAATGGGAAAAATGACTTTTCTGTCCTTTACTGTTAAACAAAGGGAAACGTGAAGCAACTGGTAAATGAATTGTAATAACCAGTGAGTATCGTTTAGCACTGGCACAAGTCGACTTAAAAGAATCACACGTGACTCAAGGATAGATAAAGGAAGTCGGCGTTAACTTTACCAACAATATTAATCAAGTAGTGAAGTGCCCACTTGCATTCCCATAGCAAAAATAAAGAAATGCAACGGTCCTAAGCAAAAATTTTGACATAAGAGTCAGTCAAAATAATTTGTATGATCCAGTTAGTAAAAGCTTCAACAATCAGTTGCATTTACAAGAAAAACCATCTGCCAACAGTCTACCTCCCACCCTCCTCCCTGAGTACCAATGGTCTGCCTCCCCTCCGCTGATAGTCGATAAAATTGTCCAAAAAAAAGTCCAAAAATTGGCCCAGAAAATGGTCCAAAAAATAGTCCAATAGTCCACGCGTCCGATGGTCCACTTCATACTTCATCCTATGCCCATAAATCAAGTTGGAGAGCCCCATAGATTCAATGATTAAAACCTTCCTATAGTGATAAATCCGAATCTTCTTTGGGAGGAAGAGTGGTAATTCCTTTTGGTAGAGAAATGGAGAGTTTTCCATGCTAGTATCATCTAATGTTATCATTTAGTAATAATCGTATAATTCAATTTTTTGTTGCAAGGCGGCTATCAATGAACTATCTATCTTACATGTAAGTAGGTCTATTCTTATTTTGTCAAAAAATTATCCTAGAATTCAGTCGTAAACCTGTCTACTTCTTTTTATTCAAGGAAGAATAAACTAACGAGTAACATCAAATTCTCTTACGCTGTGTGCGGGGTTTACCGTAATCAAATGAATTGCTAATAACATGAGTGTTACATCTCATTACACAATATAGCCGCTTGTAATACAGATCGCACCGTTCGACTGTATGCTGCTAGCCTTTATCTGGCTTCGAGATTGGCAGGTTACGCGTCACCCGAAAGGCACGACAGTTGTGATTGGCAAATTTTTCATCCTTGCTATTTCAGTGAGTGGTTTTCTCTGGGGTCCGTAACGGAAGATTTATTTTATTATTAAAATAAATGTTATTATATTATTTTATAAGAATACTTTATTGCTCTAAACAACTAAAACAAATTTACAGCTGAATTGTTTTGACTGTCTACATAGTCATTTTACAGCTGAATGACTGAATGAAAAATTTGCATGCACGTAACATTCAGCTGGTTGAATCAAGCATGAATCCGCTCTCACGTGAAACATATAATATCTATATATTTATTACTAACTATAGTTTACACTTGGAGGAATCTCAGGTCTACTTGGATGCAACTGGACACCATCATTGAACTTAGAATAAATGTTTGGCAGGGTAACTAAAAGTGAAATACATAGTTAGGCACAAACAAGTGTTAATGCTAATTACTTTCATTATAAACGCTGTTCTGACTATACTACTGAATTGCCGTAGTGTTGCCTACATCTCTTGGCCAGCATACGTCGTTCACACAGACGAAACATAGTGAACATAACTATTTGATACAGAATTTGTATCATTCCCTCGTCCTACCACATATATAGCTTTTTTGTTCTTTTTTGTTCCATTGTTCTCCCTCAGCCGAAAAGAACGCCTTCGCCATTTCATAATCGTTGCCCTTGCATTGAAAGAAGGTTTACAAACAATTTTGTTCCATACCGTCTCTTTAAAAGCCTGACGAAAGTCCAGTTTAAAGAATGTATAAAGCAATGGGTTTATGATAGAGGTGACATATCTAAATGGTATAAACCATTCCATGAAGTATTCTAGGTTCTCTATTTGCACTCGTAGATTGACTAGGAACGTGAGCATGAACCATGGAAGCCAACAAACCGCGAAGACCGTGGCCATCACAGCAAAAATAATGGATACACGACGTTTGTTTTTTGTAACTTCCATGTTACGACTATTTCGTCTGAGCAGCGTTGAATCTTTCTGTTTGGTTTTTTCAGATATGATTCTGAACATCACCACTAACGCGTACACCATAAAGAGATATGAAAAGAGGAAAACAAACACGAGGCAACATATCCCATAGCCCATCATTAACTTTCTTCCTATAGGTTTTTGACTAACGTTTATCCATGAAACTGGAACTAAGGCGATGACAAAAGATAACAGCCAGACGACTGCCAACGACGCTGACATCTTTTTCTTGGTGAGCAAACGATGTTTCAGAGGCCACTTAATGGCAAAATACTTGTCAGTTATCACGAGTAAAATGTGGTATACAGTCGCCGTGGAAGTAAAAGCATGAGTAACCAACATAGAGTAACTCAAATTTGATATCAACCCTCTGGGGTTGTCAATTTCCATCGTTGGGATAAGCATGAATATGATTAGCAAGGGTATGTTGACAAATCCTGTGACAAAGTCACATACGGCAAGACTAAGTAAAGGAAAATTTGATAAGGTTTGTAGGTATCGCCTTTTCCAAAAAAGAACAACCACTAACAGGTTTGTTGCCACAATAGCCATCGATAGCGGGACCAGTTTAGCGACTTCATTGTATGCAAGCTCTTTCTGGGCGGAATTAGTACTACTGTCTGACATAGTACCGGGCTTGGAACGTCACTTGAATGGCCTCGTTGACGCTGAATTATTTGCAGATTATTCGACACTTTTCTGTCATAGAGAATGCTCAGAGATCATGAGGCCGTGGAGTGTTCATGTTTGATAATATGAAAAGTATGCCGAAATGAACAATGACTTAACATTCCATACAATAAGAGGCGATGATTTATTGTTTAAACAATTATTCCTTTACAAAGTAAACGGCTGGTGTACAATTGCCCTATAGTCAACAGTATTTGTTGCACAAACAAAGAGAACGCTATTGAGACTAGCCAGCCAAACCGTATTGCATATATGATCACTATGTTTCCTACATAGAAACGAAACCAGCCTTAGGATGTTAACTTTGTTATTTTAAAAGTGCTTTAATGGGTCAGTAAGCATGGACCAATATCACATTTTTATTTACAAAAGCTCCATATTGTGGTTTTCATGTCGAGAGGTTTATTTTGAAGCTTTCTCGATTTTCTAAGGGTGGCTTAAAGTACGGTCTAGAAAAAGTTTATCACAGTCAGAAGAACTCTACCTCAGGAGTTCTAAAGGAACCATCGTTTTGTCCAGTTTGCCTTGCAATTACAACAAGAGCACCCTGAAATTGTCCTCATTTACGACTTTCGCAGCTGGAAGCACGCCATCTTGTATATGACGTCAACTATGATGTAGCAATAGTCAAACTGTCCTGGTTGACTTGTTTGACCTTTGTGGAACAGCTGAACTATAGTAAATTGTCTTATTGTTGAATTTCAAAATACATATTAAAATACAAAAGGAAAAGGTGTAAGCTTCCACAAGAAAATAACGCGCGAGAAGGACTTTCCAAACCCTGCGAAACCTGAGAACTACCAAAACGAAGACATCAAGTCGTCCTTGTTGACCTTCGCTTCAAACTGAGAGCTATGTTAGTAAAATAATCACATGATTTCGAGAGCAATTTGGAATAAATAAGCATGAGTAAATTTTTTCAAAGACCGACAAAATTACTCGAGCCCGTAGGGCGAGTGCAATTTGTGGTCTTTGAAAAAATTAACATGTGTTTATTTATTGCAAATTGCACGAGAAAAATCATGTGATTACTTGTTAATAATATATATATATAAATAAAATACGAGATAGCCTATCATAATTTAGCGAAGCAAAGCGCGCACGTCAAGTGCAAAAATAATTTATTTAAACCCTGCAAGTGACTTTGTGTTCGGTCAAAACAACCGCGTACGATCAAAACAATAATAATACAATGATATTTTCTCATCTTTAAGGCGCAAAAAAGTCAAAATAATAATAACGGAGCGCGCACAGCGTTGCCCCATAATTATACGAAATAGTAGTAGAGAAAATTAGAGAGAAATGGTAGTAGTAGGGAAATAGAGGGTTTTGATTAAAAATATGGTGAAGAGAAGGAGACCGGCGACCAAAAGAAAACAAGAAGTAAAAGACGTAAAGCGAGTCGAGAAAAACGTGCAAGAAAGTTAGAGAGGACACCAAAATAGGCAGAATACGGCGAAAGGAACGCGAAGGAGAACAAGAAAAGACATAAGTATAAAGGCGAATATCTAGCGAAGAGCAACGCGAGAAGGAAATACAAAGGCGCTCCTGAAAACAGACTGAGAAGAGGTCATCAACAAAGAGAAGCGAACTACAAAGGATCCGAAAAAGAAGAAGAGGTAAGTCGTGTCTTATCTAGGTTTTCTCTTACGCTAAGGCCCAGAAAAATTCAAACCTTTTTTAACAATCGTCGTTTCATACTAGCTTCAGTTTATATTTAAAATCATGTTTCGATAAAACAACGACTTTGGCCTTCATCGCCCAAAAGCTTCGCGCCGGTTCATCGCTCGAATAACATTTCAAAGTGTTCGTATTCTTCAAGGTATTTCTTGTCCTGTCGTTTGGAGTGTTTTATACGGTCGTGGTGTTCATGGAAAAGAAGTTATCTTACGGATTTTGTTTTGCCTAGAAAGCTTTCAAATGATTACGAACGGCGAGCGCAAGTTTTTACCTCTTTCTCTCTTTAGTCAACTATCGCAAGATTTACTCTATTCTTTTAAAAAATCGCGCTTTGTCGGAGAAGTGTTGTTTTAGCTTAGGAACGAAGTGGTAGCCTTTCCCAAAATTGAAATAAAGTGAGATTGAGTCAGCGATGTCCATGTTTACACTAAGTCTGACTCGGTAATTTGATTTTGACAATATTGTTATGAGAACCCGTCAAATATCTGAGAATTAAATTACGGACCGCAAATGTGTGGTGCAAACAAACTCACGGGTGAAATGGAGTCAGTCCTACCGCGGAATGAGTGAATTTCATTGTTTAGTCATGATACTTTTCAGCGCTATGTTTTCATGCTTTCTACTCGATTCGTTCGAACTTCAGGAAATGGTTTCAATTGTCTCACAAAACATGGAGCCACTTTCTCTTCTCTCAACATTAGTTCTCTCAACAACGTACTTACTGCTCGGCGGGTCATGATCAAATTTTGCGATAAGATATTTTTCACCTAATGTTGGAAACTGAAGAATCAATCTCTGAAATCGATAGTCATCAAATTTTGCGATAAGATATTTTTCTCCTAATGTTGAAAACTGAAGAATCAATCTCTGAAATCGATAGTCATCAAATTTTGCGATAAGATATTTTTCTCCTAATGTTGGAAACTGAAGAATCAATCTCTGAAATCGATAGTCATCAAATTTTGCGATAAGATATTTTTCTCCTAATGTTGAAAACTGAAGAATCAATCTCTGAAATCGATAGTCATCAAATTTTGCGATAAGATATTTTTCTCCTAATGTTGAAAACTGAAGAATCAATCTCTGAAATCGATAGTCATCAAATTTTGCGATAAGATATTTTTCTCCTAATGTTGGAAACTGAAGAATCAATCTCTGAAATCGATAGTCATCAAATTTTGCGATAAGATATTTTTCTCCTAATGTTGAAAACTGAAGAATCAATCTCTGAAATCGATAGTCATCAAATTTTGCGATAAGATATTTTTCTCCTAATGTTGAAAACTGAAGAATCAATCTCTGAAATCGATAGTCATCAAATTTTGCGATAAGATATTTTTCTCCTAACGTTGAAAACTGAAGAATCAATCTCTGAAATCGATAGTCATCAAATTTTGCAAGAAGCGTCTAAGCTGTGGTCGTGTAATGAAACGAGCTCTTGGTAATTTGAGCTCACAAGCACGCTGATAAGCACATGATTAGCGTAATTAGCTGTTGTTTACAGTTTTTTAATTCGAGAGCAGTTTTTGAGGGTCCGTTTCAGTAACCTTCTTGGATATTTTCTGTTGAATTCATTGGGGTACAATCTCGGAATTTCATAAGTGATTATGAACGATAAATTCGTATCAGCACCATAATTTAAGGAGGTTTTGTTAACACATTATCAGTTTACAATTTGCGAACCATTTCTGTAACCTGATTGGATATTTTCTTTAGAATTAATTGAGTCACACTCTCGGAATTTCATGAGTAATTAAGAACGATAAATCCGTATACGTAGCACAAGTGAAGCAAATTTTAAACTTTTCATTCGATTGTAGGAAACTATACTTAATTGACTAGATAAATTAACCTGCCATAACGCTTTGATTATTTTATTATTTTGTAGCCCCAAAAGCCCGGCTTATGACTCTGGAGGTACTGAACATGATATATTTGATACACAAGGCACCCCTCAAGGAGGAAGGTTTGAGTGAAATTGCTTTTACGACCGTATATTGCACCCGGTTTACATATGTAGATAATTGCTTAAAAAATAGCTGTATTCAGAAGCAAAGACACGTAGATATTATGCTTCTGCTCTATTTTTATTGTATGGGTTTCTTTTCAGTAACATATATCCATTCCTTTAATTTCCTCCTTAACCTGCCTGAAAATAATTAAATTTTTATGTTTTAATTCAAGTGTGAGAAGATAAAACAGAAGTGTTGCAGAGTTCTCTTCCCAGACTGAATTCAGGTGAGAACATCAGTAAACTAGTTGATGTCATATGCTTCTCCTGAATCGTTAATTTTATTGACATGGTCTTTTTCACAAAGCCTCTTTTATATCTCCGTGTGCCAACTAATGATTAAAATCTCAGTGAATAGATATGCCATATTTTTAGTTGTTTTTTAAATTCCATCTTAAAGTTTTTGGCATTTACTATTTTAGAATTCATACATGGCATTTTCTTTTCACCCATGCAAAGAGATATTACAGATTTCTTAAACTAAAATCTGAATCATGAAGTCAACTTAATTTCAATGAGTTTGAAACTTCATTGTATGTAATAACACTTTACTGGAGTATGTTACATTTATTTACTCTCTTTCTGGCACGTATGATTATGTTATGATAGGTTGGAGGATTTGGAGTTGGATCAACCAATTACCCCTTAATTGATATTTTTCTTTATTCTCATTACTTGTCTGCTTGATATTGTACTGATTGTGTAAGGAGAAATTCTTTCTAGGTCACTAGTGGGACTAAAAGGGTTAAAATGGGGGATTTCATTATATCGTAACGATTAAAATTTTCTTGTGCTTTCAAATGTGACAAAAAAATGTGATGCAAATCTGATGTTATGGAAACAATGAAAAATCCTGTCACTGGTAGCTTATGTCTTTAATGTTTAAATGTTCATGGGAAATGCTCTTCTTTGAAAGTGAGGATACAGAAGGTTTTAAAGCTGATAGAAATAAGCTGGTTGCAAGTAATGAAAATCAAACTGACAAATTCATACCTTACTGCTCGACATGCTACACTCAAACATGTCAGTTGTGTGTACCTACCATTGTAAAGGTGTCTTTCATGAAAAATATTTTTTGGTGTGGCTGTTGTTCTTTGTTGATCTTTGTAGCCAAAAAAGCTCTCAAAGGCACTTAACTTCAATTTTTATATACACAAGACACCCCCCAAGGTGGAAGAGTAGAAGACCATAGACTGATGTTTACTTGGCACTTGCACTCACCACAATTATATATTCAAGCAATACT